CCAGTGGATGAAGTGGTTGTATTTGAGCTACCAGTTTCATACTTGACCATTTCTTCCTTTCCAGTGGATGAAGTGGTTGTATTTGAGCTACCAGTTTCATACTTGACCATTTCTTCCTTTCCAGTGGATGAAGTGGTTGTATTTGAGCTACCAGTTTCATACTTGACCATTTCTTCCTTTCCAGTGGATGAAGTGGTTGTACATACTTGACCATTTTTTCCTTTCCAGTGGATGAAGTGGTTGTATTTGAGCCACTTTCTTTGCTTTGATACATTCTGTGATTTATCTCGGTGAGATCTAGAGAAAGCATAGAAAATAATAGTTTGTTTTACAAGTCAGAATAAAATAATAACAGTTTCTTTTACACACTTTTTGATTAATTTATGTTGTTGTTTTTTGGTTCTGGTCAACATGTAGGCCATGTGGTATTGAAATGGATAACTGTCATTGATTGACATAAATAGATAATATGTCATGGTTGAATATTTACTAATAAATTATCAGTAAAGATCTGATGATGCTAATAAACTGCCTAGCAGGCTTGGGTACATTTGTTTTTTTTGGTTCTGGCCAACATGTAGGCCATGTGGTATTGAAATGGATAACTGTCATTGATTGACATAAATAGATAATATGTCATGGTTGAATATTTACTAATAAATTCTCAGTAAAGATCTGATGATGCTAATAAACTGCCTAGCAGGATTGGGTACATTTGTTTTTGTCTTTTGCATTGGGAGTATTTTATCCACAATTAAAAAGAAATAATCATTTTTATAGTTTTCTCATGAGTTCTTCCTTCAGTATTTAAGCTTATGATTTGAAAGTGGTCTAGTGTGGTTCTAAGGTAAGATCAAATGTTCTTTTTTAATAATAGGGATGTTACAATCATTTTAAACATCTTAACTTTCTTTATCTTCTGATGAAAGAAACTTTGTATCACAGAACCTCTTGTCATCATGACAATATACTAATGTCCAACATTCTTCCATTATCTTCTTCGAAGATAGGAGAAATGGCAAAAAATCATCAAAATTTAGTTGTGTTTTATACCTTCAAATTTTTTGGAAGGTAAATAGTCCCTTTCTGAGCACTAATTTAATAAATAAAATGTTGAAAATTCAGTTGTTAATTTGTGACAAGGCTTGAACTCAAGTTGATGGTCCACCAGCTAAGCCACCAGAATGCAAATCCCAAGCTGATGGTTTATCCTCCTGACTGTTACACCATGCACACTCTTTTTTTTTAGGTTGATCAGTGGTTTTAGAAACCAGTAGAAACCAGATTTTTATATACAATCAATGCTTTATTATCTGGCATTTACTAGACCTGGTCAGTGCCAGATAGATGAAAATTCCAGTTACAAAAGTGTTTCTCTTACAAAATGTTGTTAATGTTAAAAGTTACAATACTTCTACATCATCTATAATAATAACAGTTTGTTGTATAGAAACATTTATAAGTTGAGTATTTTAAATGTGAAGCACAGTATAGGTGGTGAACAACTGAAGCTTGCTGATGGGAAAGAACCTAAACAAAACTGTAGCAGTGCTACTAAGTTACAATGAACACTTGTGTTTGGAGATATTGAAATTCCCAGTTACAAGAGCTTTCTGGATGTGAAGTTACCGGATAACAAAGCTTTTACTGTACTAACTTTCATCCCACAAATATCCATCAAACATTTTTAAGTTTGTGGTCATACTGTTATTTTTTAATCATATTTTCAGATGAACTCAAGGTAGCTTATAAGAAGAAGGCCCTACAGTGCCACCCAGACAAGGTTAGTGTATACATCTGTAATTAAGTCATAGAAATGTAACACTGTATTGACATGCATACTTTAGGCTTAAGACATCTTAATTTTACAACTGTATCTAAAGCTAAAGATAATATATGTTACTTTATCTAGGCATTGGTTTATTGCAGTTTTTATTTTTACAGACTAATATGAATATACTCACCTTTAATGAGGTTATAAGTTTGGTGATCTTAATTTGAGATGTATAGATTGGAAAACTTTAGTCAAATGTAAGGGATTCAAATATTTAGAAATTGTTCATGATATTTTTCTTCTAGGAACATTGTAAGTTTTAGATTTATTGTTGACGTCTAATGTACAAATGGTCGAGAGAGGGTAACATCTTGGTGCAAATGATCATGGATTAATTGATGTTTTACTGCTTGTTGAAGTAAGGAATAATGAAATTTTGAAGGGATGAGACAAGAATTTTGTAACTGAATTAGTTGAAGGTATTTATCAACGTGGTTCATTGTATGTACAGAAATATCGAACACAAGTCTAAAGAGGTTATAATGTTATTGTACAGGTCACTGGTTAGGTCACATGTGGAGTGATGTGTTCAGTCTTGGGCACCTTATCTTAGAAACGCCATTGCATTTTTGCAGTTTTGCGACCAGAAGTATAGGCTAGCCAGACTGATAACAACTGGTTATATGTTATCAGAGAGTCTGGCTAGCCTTGTTATCAGAGAGTCTGGCTAGCCTATAACCAGTTGTTATCAGAGAGTCTGGCTAGCCTATAACCAGCAGAGTCTGGCTAGCCTATAACCAGGGACTAGCCAGACTCTCTGATAACAGCTGGTTATAGGCTAGCCAGACTATATGATAACAGCTGGTTATAGGCTAGCCAGACTATATGATAACAGCTGGTTATAGGCTAGACAGACTCTTTTATAAAAGCTGGGTATAGGCTAACGCG